AAAAAAAAAAAGATTTAGAGTTCTTGATACACAGTCCCTTAAAGAGTCATATGAGGCTCTCACTAGACCTTCACCACAGTGTTAGGACTATTTTGTTAGTTAGATGGGTATAAAAGACCTCTCATTGTTTTAATTTTTATGTTTTGGTTTATTAATTAGGTTGATCATCTTATTTTTGAATTTTTTAAACATGGATTGGTAAGGACTGAAGAAATGATTAAGAGCAGACTGGTCATTTGAGTAAACCGAGGCTAATAAAATTAGAATGAATGAAAGAAGCTGGGCCTTGAGAAGAAGAAAGAAAAAGCCTGTACTACAAAGAGTGAGATACTTACTGCAGCTTTATTCCATATTTTCAAATTTTGTTTTTGCCCAGTAACTATTTTTACAGTGATCATTTTTATTATATAGCATGACTGTGCTATGGAGTGTTTATTTTTAGAGGGATAGTACTGGCTGAGCATGGCCATCTGTTTGAAGACTGGATGTGGACGTGACAAATTTGGAACTGATCTGAGCCAGCAACAATACCTAAAGGGTTTCCCTCTGCATGGCAGAGTAGGGGATTCTTAGTTTGATGGTGGCCACTGCTTGTTGCAAGTTATATGATCCAGTCCTCAAGGAGAAGAATCTGATAATAAACAAAACAGATCGTCAGGACTTCAGTAGAACAATCTGAATTTCAATGGCCATTCCAGTTGTACAGGAAAACTTAAGACATATTAAGAAAACTAAGGTAGAAGGCCCAGGCTAGGCATAAAAAAACAGCTGGGGAAGAATATGAGTTGGGGATGCTTTGGCTCAGTATGCAGAATAGGGCCCAAGAATCAGTCAACATATTGGGAGTTTATGGCAGGGAGATGATGGCTGTGCATCCCTGTGAAGGTAGGGACTAACAATCTTAAAAACATTACTTGTATTATTTAAAATTGTAAAAGTAATACATGTTCATTGTTAAAACTCTGAAAACTATAGAAAAGTCCAGAGCCAAAATCAATGCAATTCTTTTTCATAATCTAGGAGTCAAAATTTCTTGGTAAATAATGGCAAACTAAATCCTTATTCAGTTTACTTTGGCAAGATAAATATATCAAAAATTCATCTGAATAATTTTAAGTCATTTTCCCTCGTCTTATATTATGTCCTTATAATAGAAGCAAAGAAGTTGTAAGAGTTAATATTTCCCTCTTTTTAGAACATGATCACATGCACATTCTGACTCTACGAGGAAAAAAGTAAATACTTAAAAGTAAAAATTATGCTTTTCCACGAGAACCCAGGGCTGTCTTAATCTTACAAGATTTCAGAATCTGTTCTTACTTTTTAAATTTCCCATTATGTTGTCTACGCTTTGGGAAAAGTCACACACTTTAAGCACACCTGATTTAGAAAATTCCAGACGCATCAAAAGTGTGCACAGAAGCAGAGAAGTCTATGCGGAATAGTCTTTTGGCAAATGTACAGAATTTTCCAAAGCACACGGTCACATGCTGATGAAAGCGCGGTCCCCTTACCTTCTCCCTCCAGTTATCATCACTCTGCAGCTTCTGTCTAAGGGTTTCCTGCAGCTGCTCGATGATTTTCTGATGTGAAGTCAGCATCAGTTCCCTGAAAATCATAAACCTGACAAATGAATAAGTAAGACTCGCCCCTAATGCCATTCCCCAACTGTAGTTCCTGGCTCAGAGAATATTATTTCACAGCCTAGCCTGTTTATTATCTTTAGCAATGGATATTAATATATTGCCACCACATACTATTTTAACTGTTAACAGCAATTCACAAATACTACATCCACGGTAAGTATTTTCCCAGGGTTCATTTTTACTTAATAAATAGTAAGTTATGATTTTTTCATGATAGAGTAAAAACATACGTAGAGTCTCAAATATATAAAATGTTAAATCGGGGTTCAAAAAGTTGATGACGAAATTCTAGCACCAGACATGTTGGGATACGTATGTGTTAGCAGTTGCCGAGAAATGTATTTTTCTTGTACTTATCTCAAACACTGATAGAAATAAACCACATGAAGTAGAAGGTACTGTCAGGGATGTGGTATACTACAAACCATACTAAACTTAGAAAAGCAAACATGCACACTCTCATGTTCTGATCTGCGTAATAGAGCTCAGGGCTTAGTTTGATCCTCTGGGTAGAAGAAAGAACAGGAGGAGACTCATGAGAAAACCTCACAAGGGCACTGGAACTTAGGATACAACTGGGAGCAGCAGAAGCGTGCCATTGATCAGGGCTCCTTCCCACTTGCACAATGACCATGACGTTGTCCTTTTCTGTGTATGGAATAACGTCTCCATTGTTTATTCCTTCTAATCCCTTTGTTTTCCGTCATCACTCTTGTCCTTTTGGCTTTGACCCCTCTTCTCAGACTTGAGGCTTTCATTTATAACTGCCTGTTGGACAACTCCACCAGAATGAGTCATCAACACCAGAGAGTTCACGTACCAAAGACTAAATTCCCCATCATTTTCTGCAATCTTTCCTTTCCTTCTGACTTCTGGAAACCTTCGATGGTGAAAACCTTTGGCTTGAAATCCCTGAGTGATCTCCGAAGCTTCCTTCTCCCTGTTCTCCCACAGCCATTCAATAGCACGTTCTGTACGTCGTGCTTCCGTGTGGTCCCTTAAACTTGGTACCCCTCAACCTGGTCTCCTCTTCCTTTCCTACATAAAAAGCCTTGTTAAAGTCTAGTCTCATCCTTCTTATTTTATTAAACATTTTTTACCATAACAAAAATAGGAAGCACCGGCATTTCTAGGCTAAAAAATAAGAAGATAGAGCGACCTGGTATCTTGGTGTTCCAGATATGAATGTCATTGAAGAAAACTCATTGAAAAAAATCTCCCAGACTTCGCTTTCCAAAAGCATAGCTAACCTGATAAGTAAATATAAAGAAATATCCGATTAAGGCTTGGCACCCATAGCACAATGGTTACGGCGCTGACCACATGCACCAAGGCTGGCGGGTTTGAACCCAGCCTGGGCCAGCTAAACAACAATGACAACAACAACAACAACAACAACAACAAAAAGAAATATCCAGTTAAAATAATTTTAATTTTGTGTAATTAGGCTAGCAAAAAGAAAGAACCAGAACATGGGACAAAAATGTAGGCTATGCATGAGGAGGGTAGCTATCAGGGTTAACGTGTTCTCTGGTCTTTGCATTATTTGAAAGAAATTTAAGATATTAATTTTAGACTTTATTAAGTGTTCATGACAAAATGTCAAGGATAACCACTAAAAGAATAGAAATAAAATATACTATTCGTGAAAAAATAGACTAAAAAAAAAATAAACAGAAGTCTAACAATTCTCCCTGTCAAAAGGCCCAGAGGAGAAAATAGTGCAGAAAAAGGGGAAGAAATAGAAAGCTTACAGTAATAATCACAAGGATGAAAAACTAAACTCACAGGAAAGAAACAGACTCGATACAAACAAACTGAAAGATTAAAAGTTTGCAAAAGATATAACAGATCTATTAAAGAAAAGGTAGCGTGTAACTATGTTAATTAACATTAGGCAAAATAGACTTTGAGACAAAAGTCATTATCCAGAGCTGATTACGCTAATAGATTTAATTTTCTCTGAATATTCTAACCTTTTATACTGTCAAATAAAACAGTCCCACAATATGTAAAACAAAACATGATGTAACTATAGAGAAGCTGTCAGATCCGCACACAGTGGCAGAGCCCGGCGGGGCTTCCTCAGGTAAGTTAGTGCAGGAGCTCCTCCCGGCAGTGGACGGATAACCGCATGGCTCCAGGATGTTATGGAATGGATCTCCTGGAGTTGTGGAATACAGCAAGCCAGGGTCAAGCAGAGAAATATTAACAACTCCGTGAAGACACAGAAGATTTCGTTTAGGGTTCATATATAGAACCTTGTACACAATTAGTGGAAAAATACATAATTATTTTCCAGCTCATATGGAATTAACCACCCACCAGGCCAGAAAGTATTTCAGCAAATTTCACACAATCATTATACTAAAAACCTGCATTGTTCAATATGGCAGCCACTAGCCTCATGTAGCTACTGAGCACTTAAAAATGTCTAGTCCAGGGCGGTGCCTGTGGCTCAAAGGAGTAGGGCGCCAGCCCCATATGCTAGAGGTGGCAGGTTCAAACCCAGCCCCAGCCAAAACCTGCAAAAAAAGAAAAGTCCAGTCCAGGGGTGGGGACTCTGTGGCCTTAAGGCCACACGTGGCCCTCCAGATCCCCAAGTGCAGTCCCTCAACTGACTTTAGACTGCACAGAACATATCACTTTATTAGAGGATTTGTTCTGTAAAATTCGAGTTCAATCAGAAGGCTGCACTCAAGGATCCAGGAGGCCACATGTGGCCCCACGGGTGTTGGTTCCAACTGAGATGTGCTGTATGTGCAAAATATGCACCAGATTTGAAAATTTCATCTAGAATACTTGTGATAAAGTTTTAAGATGATTGCATATTTAAAGGATAATATTTTGGCTATATTGGGTTAAATAAAATATATTATTAAATTTGATTTTGCCTGTTTAAGTCTTTTACTGTGGCTACTAAAAATTTCTAAATTACATATCTGACTCACATTGTACGTCCGAATAGCCCTATTATAATCTATATTTGGTGAAAACAAATGTCAGTAACAAAAGATAAATAACGTATCTCTATATATTTAAAGATTATGTATTTCTGAATGACTCATGGGCCAAATTAAAAAAATCACAATTGGCATTTAGATATACTCAGAACTGAAATAATGAAATTGCTACGTATCAAAACTTAGGGACTAAAGGTAACACAGAATGGATTAATTGTGACTTTCCTTAGAAAAGAATACAGATAAAGAAATGAATAATCCTCAGCTACATGCAACTTCATGAATCTATCTCAGGAACAAAATATTGAGCAAAAAGAACAAATCACAGAATAATACAGTATGATTTTATTTCTATGAAGATAAAATATATGTAAAATCTATTATATAATTTTGGGAATACAAACATACTTGGTAAAATTATAGAGGGAAGTAAGCTGTTACCCACAGGTTTGTGTAGATTTTTTTTTGTTTTTTTTATCAGTTTAGGGACATTCCCTTCTATTCCTAGTTTGCTGAGAACCACAGAATGAGATGCTGGTGGTATCTCTGAGGAAGGAGAGAATGGGATGGAGTTGTGGAGAAACAGAAAGGACGTGCAAAGCTAATAGTTTATTCCTCCTAAACTGAGAAGTTGATAGAGAGATGTTCCCTGAATTGTAATTCCTTATATCTACATAAACCTTCTATGCATTTAGAAGGTTTGAAAAGATATAACGGATCTATTAAAGAAAAGGTAGCGTGTAACTATGTTAACATTAGGCAAAATGGACTTTAAGACAAAAGTCATTACCCAGAGCTGATTATGCGAATAGACAGATATGCCAGTGTTCATGAAAACAATTACTGGGAAAGCCTGAGCAAAGTGTAGGCTAGGTACATGGAGGAGAGAGAATTGAAGGTGAAACGCAGGGTGAAGAAATGGGCAGGTGAGTAGTAGGTCTTTCTCCTGTAGGGACAGTGTCACTTGCTTGTGTTGCTTGATACGGAAATGAATTCAGAAGGCAGAGCCGCTGTCCTAATTGTGTTTAGAATCCAGCCAGGGTGACATGAAGTGTGAGGCAGATTCACCAGGTTCTGACGCTTGCAGAGCAGTCTCAGGGTTGGAGAAAACGAACTGACGCAAAAAGAATAAGGAATGAGGCCCGTGATCGCGGGATTACGTTAAAACCTTCACTGTGGCTTTCTTCCCAATATCTGGCCATCTGGGCTCCTCTGCAAACTCAGGTTCCTCTAACGCATGTTCCCAAATTTTATCTCCAGTTCAGATCTGTTCTCTGAGTGTCTGACTCATCTACCCAACTCTCTACTCCACTAATCTATTTTAGAAACATCTCAAATTTAACATGTCTGCAATCTCAGTGTTTTACAACACTCGAGTTTAGTTTTTGCACCCACTATGGGTCATGTTTTGTTCCAGGATGTGTCCCAGGGAGCGGCTCTTACCTCAGGATGCTGCTTTTGTGGCAGATAGAAAAGAATAAATTGCGAAAACATAGGATCTCTTAAAACTTCTACCTAGTGGTGGCACCTGTGGCTCAAAGGAGTAGGGCACTGGCCCCATATGCTGGAGGTGGCAAGTTCAAACCCAGCCCTGGCCAAAAACTGCAAAAAAAAAAAAAAACAAAAAAAACTTCTACCTAGAAGTGATGTTTATCAGTCCTCTCACATTTCAGGGGCAAGAACAAGTCAAATGGCCAAGTCTGAGAGTGGTCAGTGGTCAGTGAGACTGTCCTCTCACTGGGAGGTGGGTGGGAAGTCATCTGGCTGGCACTAGCAGACCCCATCACAGCTCTGAAATCCCACAAGAAGTCTACCCTGAAGGTGGGGGAACATTTCTTGCTTGGATATGGTTCTTTCTCCTGCGAGTAAATTCTCAGTCCGGTTTTTGCCGTAGCAGCCAGCTCTCCTCCCTGACATGGGCTTCTTTTTCATTATCCAGCTTAGCCACATCAGAAGAGAGCAGAGATGCTTAAATTTCTGTTTCCCTGCGATAGTTATA